CATGAGTGATTAGAATTTTATAATTGAAGGACCATGGGTTGTTAACTTGGATCACAGATGGTAACAATTTAAAAGTTGAAGGACCATGACTAATTTTAAAATTTAAAACTAAACGTAGCAAATCACTATACTCGGAAGCCCGGCGCGAAAGGGATATTAACTCATTTTTTAAACTTCCGGTCTCACAATAACCACATTTCTTTGTTAAAAAAAAAAAAAAAAAAAAAAAAAAAAAAAAAACATATCTTCACGGGTATCAATGCCTTTGTTGTTTGTACTTGAATTGTGACATAGAGGATTTTTTTTTTTTTTTTTTTTTTTGGCAGGGAGCACCATTTAGAGCATGCACATAAGAGGAGAATGTGGGGAGAATAAACTACTTTCAAGGAATCTAATGCCTACATGAATGAGATAAAAAAATAATAATAATAAAAAAAATAAATAAATAAAAGAATTGGGGAGCAACTGCAAGTACCCGGTTAATGGCAGGATAGTGGGACCCAGCTGGAAAAACAACCAAATGTGACAGTCTTGTGTGGCTGTCATGAGTGCACTCACTGGGCGCGCCGGTCAACGCGCCTGACCATGATTATTATATTATTTTTTTAATTTTGAAATCAATTTTTGCTTTTTTTTTCTCTCACCCCTTCCACATTCTCTTTCCTAATCGCTCTTACAATAACCCCTTAATATCCCCAATTGATATTGATGCTCTTAAAGCATTACCATCAAAGCATATTTTGAGGAGAATAGTACCATACTTGATGACTTGGAAGAGAGAGAGGGTAAGAGAGAGAAATTTGAGACCTTCCTCCAAGAGTGGGGAGAATAGCAGAAAGTGGCATGGACTCATGCCTTCATTTGCTCCACTCCCGCACGTTGTGCGTGAGGGCCAAAAAGGGCGCCCAGCGGGCACGTGCACTGCACGCGCCCATTAGGCGCGCCTAACAGTAATTAAAATATTATTATTTTTATTTTAAAATTCAATTTTTTTTTGCTTTTTTTCTCTCCTCTCTCATCTTCTCTTTTCTAATCACTAGAAACATTCTCCCCACATTATCCCCAACTGATGCAGATGCTCTTAGCACAAGTCTCTCTTCTGAATTGTGCAAACACTTTCAAAATGAACTATTTCTGTATTTACACAAAAAGTTATTGGTTATCATTTTCCCATTGCTAAAAATAGAAATGCATAAATTTTTAAAACTCTTCCAACTTTTAGAGATGAAAGAAATCGCAATTCGGTGGGAAACGAATAAGGTGAGAATAAATTAGAATTCAAATTATATTATTTGGTAGGGAGGAACAGAATTATTGGTTATGAGAAAGAAAGAAGTGGTATAAAGACTAAAATGTCCATAGTAATAGTAATAGTAATAGTAATAGTAATAGTAATAGTAATAGTAATAGTAATAGTAATAGTAATAGTAATAGTAATAGTAATAGTAATAGTAATAGTAATAGTAATAGTAATAGTAATAGTAATAGTAATAGTAATAATAACAACAACAACAACAACACATGGTACTTTTGTTATTTCTTTCTTTTTATCCTTTCTCACAACTACAGAATTGTAAACATGGGGATGTCCATAAATTGCAATTCATCAAAAAGAGAGAATTACAATTCCTTCTAACTAAACACCGTAATTTATTTTTTCATAAAATAAAGTGAGAAAGAAATTCCAACTACATCCAACGAATACCGCATTAGTATTTTATATATGGGTGGTTGGAGCCAGAAACAAGTAAAATAAAAAAAGTTTAAAATACAGCTGTAAAATTGTAGAAGCTACAGTACATATAAACAACACAATGGGAAAGAATAAAACAATACTATTTTTTTTAAAAGAAAAAAAAGTAAGCTGAGAACATGTGAGTTGTGAATGATTATAATAATTGAGTTGTGTACGATATATTTGATCATGGATTCATGATTATCCTGTCCCATGCAAATTGTTTACCTGTAACTATTCAATATCCCTATGAATATTAATCACATCAAAACACTTTCGATGTGGAATTCATTTTGAATTTGATAAATGCATTGCTTGTGAAGTTTGTGTTTGTGTATGCCCTATAGATTTACTTGTTGTTAATTGGCAATTGGAAACAGATATTCGCAAGAAACGATTGCTTAATTACAGTATTGATTTTAAACTTTGTATATTTTACAATAATTGTGTTGAATATTGTCTAACAAACTATTTATCAATGACGGAAACATATGAACTTTCTACTTATGATCGGCATGAATTGAATTTAATCAAATTGCTTTGGATCAGTTACCAATGTCAGTAATTGAGGATTATACAATTCAATAAATTTCAAATTAACCTCAAATAAAAAATGAATAAACTATTGATTAAACAAAATTACCAATTATTAAGCTCAGTTTGGGTCATTAAAAAAATGCTATTCTATTGATTGGTTAGTGAGACTCGTAACTTCATTTGGCTCGCTAGAAAATTGATTTCTATGTTTAGATTATTGTTCTTGTAACTAGTCAAAATAATGGTTTTGAAATTAATAAGATTATCTACTTAATCAAACTAGTATTTTAGAGGTGTTGTGGTACGTTCTATTTGGTGTTGTGGTGAGAATATTAAATATGTTTGAAAATTGAAATAAAACAAGACATATAAATATGTTTATGTAGCCTCCTAAATTTACAAGGCATATCAACAAATGATCTCCAATCCACTACACCTAAAGAAAGTACATAGGTATGTTTATGTAGCCTCCTAAATTTACAAGGCATATCAACAAATGATCTCCAATCCACTACACCTAAAGAAAGTACATAGGTTTATCAATTTCAAGTCAGGTTTGTATTTTTTTTTTTTTTTTTTTTTTTTGGTTAAATCTTTTTTAGCCCTAGCCATTTTTTTTTTAAATGAAAAGAGCAATATTTTTTTAAAATGAAAAGAGCAATATTATTAATTCAAATCTGAATACAAAATACCACAAATAAAAGAAGGGGGGAAAGACAACCATTCTTTACGAACAGCCATATATAGAAACCGGCTTCCGGACTAGTAGATGCGCGGTATGATTCGTTGTGTGTCAATAAATACACCATAACCCTAAAACCTCAAGCTATCAAATTTATGGGATGGTCTTAATTAAAAATTTTAATATTTTAAATTTAACATTCTAGATTTTCAATTTTAACAAACACATTTACATAACTCAAAAACATAATACAAGTCTGCAACAATTAATTCAAACTTCAAAATTCTAATCTTCACAAATCCACAATCCAAGTTTTAAATTATAAACATATAATATAAAAGTAAAATGCATAATGGAAAAAAAATTTAAGTACTAGTGACTCTATTACAATGTAGTATATCAGTATATGTTCATACATACTCTCTCAACCTATTGAAACATAAAGAGTCAATGCTCCACTGGGATTCAAACCAGCTATGACGCTGTGAACTCTCATTTAAGAGAGTCATATAGGTGTCATTAGGGGTGTTAGCGAACAGAGTTTTCGGTAAACTACTCGTGGACAAAATTTATGTTAGTTTATTAAGGTAAACTACCAGAGTCTGAATATTTGTATGCTTATTTGCAAAGAGCTCGTGAAATTGTTTATTAGTGTTCGTTTGATAATGTTTATGAACGGACTCATTCAGTACGTGTTCATTTAATAGTATACATGAACACGCTAGTTTAGTGTTTGTTTAAGATTGTTCGCAAATAGATTCATTTAAGTGCAATTTATTTTATTTTAAATTTTAGGATAGTGTTTGTTTGTTTGATTATTGTTTGTGAACATAGACTATTCCTTGTTCACAAACAAATTATGATCATAAACATGTGTATTTGTTTGATTGTGTTAGCGTCCGTAAATGTGTAACGAACGTGTTCACAAACGTTAACGAACACGAACAGAATTTTCAAAAATCTTAATAAACAAACACGAACACAAACACTTTAAAAATCTTAACAAACGAACACGAACAATCTCTGCTCGTTCATGTTCGATTTATTAATAGTCCTAGATGCCAAGCTACTTGGCAACATTCCAGATTCAATACATAATTGTACATTCTTCTCCCTCATTGTCCCTACTCAATATTTGTAGCAATTCAACAATTAACAATACAAAGTTACAAGCAGAGAGCCAGAGAGAACATGCAATAACTGTGAGAAAATTCCGAAATACTAAAATCTGTCAAATGTCCAAATTGAAAGAAATTATCTAATTAAATTAAAGCCTTAATTAGGTAATTAAACCCAAATCGAGTCATAGTGGCATGTTATGGGCGGTGGACGGTGTGAGGAAGACAAATGAGTAAACGACGATCGCGATGAGAGTCTAAGAATGAGTGGTTTGGTGGTGATGGTATTTGTGGTAATAATAATTTGAAAATTAGTACCAAGTGGCTTGTAGTCCACTGGTATCAGATTGCTCCCCTAAGTGGGAGGTGTAAGGTTTGAACCTCAATTGAGGCAATAGTGTGTATATGTAGGGTATCCCCTTCCTTATAATAAAAATAATAATTTGAAAATTAGAAAAAAAAAAAAAAAAAGTTGAGAGAGAAGATAAATACAGAAAAAATAAAGAATCTAAAAAACGTCTTTCGATTAAAAATTGTTCTGTTAATCAGAATGGATATTTTCTTTTGACTTTATTTCCTAATACTCAAACACAAGAAAATCTGAGTTAAATCTTTTTACTTCTCTTTCATGCGTCTAGATTGAGAATTTGAGTTTGATTAACCTTTTACTATATCCATAGATCTTAAAAGTACAACAAAAATCCTTTTGCTCAACTCTTCAACCAAATATATATTTACAATAAATACCTTAGTTTTAAGCCAAACAAAATAATCTAACATTCTCTAAGTTAATCTAACATTCTCTAAATTAATCTAATATTCTATAAACCAAAAACTTACTAAGGATTCGTGTACCAAACAACCCCAAAAGTATAATAAAAATCCTTTTGCCCAAAAGACATGAAGGGATTGAGTAATCCCTTGGTTGTGATTGAAACTACTAGGGACTTCAATGCATTAAACACAAAGTGGTAACTACCTCACTCATACAACAACAATTTTTGAATACCCGAATTGTCCCACAATCAAATGTTGAAAATATCAGACAGGTTTAACAGATGAATAAAGCAATCATGAAATCGATAAGTATCACAATTCACAGGGCCACAACTCTAACAACAACTCTCATTCATCACATTTGCTGCTCAAACTCGGGGTTGAAAGCAACGGCCTCTCGGTAAATCAGCTCCTTCATCTGCTCCTCGCTCAATGCATGCTGCTCAAAATCAAAGTTAAAGGGAGTCGTGCAACTTGGCTCGTCACTGATATCGTGGAGTGATGTTAGGTAAGGATGCGCAAGTGCACCTTCAACTGAAGCCAAGACAACATATACCAACAATTAGTGCATAAACCAAATTGCTCCATGAAGGCAACAGAAAATGAAATTTTGTCAAGAAATCTATGGATTGATTGCATTTAGATCTCATCGAAGAATTGCCATTGTGATAGTGTGAACTGTGAACATCAATTCAATCAAAAGCTCTTCTCAATAGAGACTGACCGGTAATTCTTCGCCTGGGATCAAATGTCAACATTTTCTCAACAAGATCAATAGCACCAGGGTGCGCATGTGGAAACCTTTCAGTAAATGACTGGCGACGATATAATGGAAGCTGCCGGATATATTTTTTCGCATTCTCATTCAAAAACTCCATTTCAGCCTCCGAAGGTGTACCTATTAGCTGCATAATGTGCATTTTATTAAAACTGGCATTAGAATACCTACCCAAACTTAACAACAATTTTGAGAGTTCCACTAAGCTCTTATTATGCAGATGAAAATGTATTGAAGACTCTAAAACGTGTTGGATTAGTAGGTCCCCTGCAAGATTTGACACGTTGCAGTTGCAAATTCTGAACACTAGTGACATGAACCATGAGACCCCTTTATTTGATGTTTCATTCTGTATTTCATAATGGAAACTAAACTTGCAAACACTTCCCAGTCTACAGTTTCCAAGGATTACTACAAAGTAGAAACAGCTTGCACACAGATGCCTTTGTTTGTTTGCATGTATGACACAATATGAATGAAAAAGTGAGGAATTTTATAAATCCTGCCCAAATAAACTCAACATTAAAAAAAAAAAAAAAAAAAAAAAAAAAAAAAAGAATAGTTCAAATTTTCCACAACTTGCTTTCATCAAATTTCAGATTACAAAATTTCATGAAAAATGACAAGCTTCAAATTCAAGACATTATTATTAATTAAATTAAACTCTAGAAGTAATCATTTATCACATAGTTTGCTTTATCCTAGCTAACAGATTACATTTTTTGTTGATTTTTATTTCACAATTGTTGAAATAACCCTATCAAGAAACATGCTATGTACTAATTAACTTGGCTTCATAAGGTCAACGACAAGTAATCTAAACTGAACCTACAAATATATAGAAATGATAGGTAATGTCAATGAAGGATAGTCACTGGCCAAAGTCCATAGGAAAGTTGAAAAAACAAAATAGTCTAGAAAAACAAGAGTAACTATTCAAGAGAGAATAAAAATTATATTTTCATCATTTGTTTACTAGTGTTTGCAGATTTTATTTACTTTTCATTTTCACACTTCTAGTAGAAGTAGGATTGAGAGAGGGATTAGAATTCCAGTAAGCAAAGAGGACATTTTCAGCTTAAGAGTTCTTCTAAAGGACTTTAGGTTTTGCTCCTACTAGCAACTCAACCAATAACTTTTCCCACTCTGTCCCCAAAACAGAGTTGCACCATATTTGTAAATCTTACCGAGTAGGGGCTTCCAATCCATCAGTTAAAGAAAGAAACCATATTTAATTTGCAAGCTTTTAATTGAAGTATATCAAGACTGAAAAATAAACCCTCTGGTAGATATTGTATGGTCTGTGGGTTGCACCTTTCACGGAATAGATTACAAACCCCTGTTCCTTAAATATAAATCATACAGCTTAGGAGCTTAATCCAATATGATTTCATAAAAAAAGAAAGGGATGTGGAAACTCCTGATATGAAGTACATCAGTAAAGATTTGGTTTCTGTATTTAGAAAGAACATATTCTAACGCATTAGTAGCATACATTCAAAGTTGCCAATAAATGATGAACTTTTAGTGTCTAAGAAGGATATGATTCCAAATTGACTCTTTCTTTACTTTTTGGGGTGTTGGAAAGGTATCATGAAGTACAGTAACCTCCTTAACGGAACAACCTACTTCTTAAGTTTATATGCTTGTATGGAATGAGGCAAACCAATTACAGAAACCAAATTCAAGCCATAAGCTTTAATGGCTTAACACAAACAATTGATTTAAGGTATATTAACAACATTGTGGTGCATAGAGATTAGCCATTTAGGAAATAATCCATGACAAAATAAAAATCTCCTGTGAGCTTCCTTGAAGGGATGCTACAGAGACCAATTTATGAAATAAATAATGTAGCAAAACAGAGTCAAAAGAAATAGATGAACCAATTAATGAGTAACCTAAACTATTCTTTAAATTCTTATTTGGACAATTTCAGAAAAGAAGAAATCAAAGTGGATGCTAACACTTTAAGGCAACCTGTAGTAACAGATATAAAATAGCATGTCAATTGACTATTGTCATATATAAGCAACTGAAACACATTGCTTCACATCCCTCTGCATAGGTAATTATCACTTATGCTATGACAATATAACAGTTAAAGAAGGAACAAGAAAATCTTGAGATAGATGATTGGGTTGAAGTGGCAATGGTATTTAACAGAATAAAGAGATTCTAGCAAGGAAACCATACCTCCATAAGCAGACGTAGCTGGTGGACATGATCTCTACCAGGGAATAGGGGTTTCCGATCCATCAATTCCATGAAAATACAACCCACTGACCATACATCAATGGCTGCAGTGTAGTCAGAAGAGTTCAATAATAGCTCAGGTGGCCGGTACCATCTAGTCACAACATATTCAGTCATAAAATCTGTTTCGGATGTCACACGAGCTAATCCAAAATCACATATTTTCAGATCACAATTGGCATTCAATAGTAGATTGCTGGGCTTCAAGTCCCTGTGCAAAACATTTGCAGAATGTATGTATTTCAACCCACGGAGAATCTGATACAAGAAATACTGCACAAAAAGCAGGAAAAATCAGGACTTGATGAATTACAGCACAGATTTCAACATTGATGCATCATAACAAGCATTTGAAAGTGGAAAAGGGTAAAAAGCCAGCAATTCAGACAAATTAACAAAATATCTAATGGGTTTTAGGATTCACTCACAGTGATGTTTAGCTTCAGACTGCAAATTTATGTATGCTATTTGTTTCACAATTAAGCTAAACACAGAAAACTTTATCTTTACATTAGCTATGTACAAAAACAGGTTGGTTCACTTTGTGACGTTAACGATGAGACGATTTCAAATTTTATATTTAGAGCTCTATTTCCCTTTCATCTTTCTTTCTTTTTCAATCTTCACCATCATTCCACCTCCTTAATTCATTTCATTTCCAGTAAATATGTATGTTGCATTTGTTTCCAGAACCTGTACAACTGATTACATAACAATGATAAGTATTTAAATAAAACTGCTCAAAAAGTTTTTAAAAAATGTGCCCATGAAAATATCACAGCCTAAAGAAATGATCTTGCAACTATTCATCAATCTCAAGTAAAAAGCAAATGAAGGAATCTTGAGTTCAAACAACAAATGCCAAAAATTGAATATTTTTTATGATATAACTGTTTAAACTTTAAACATAAACCTGACAGTGCTCCTCTGATAATGACTGATTAGAGCGAATAATTTGATGAAGATCAGTGTCCATAAGCTCATATGCAATATAAACGTCATTGAATGACGCTCTCTGAGGAGGTGGTATTATATCTCTAATTGCAACAATCTGCAAGATAAAAGCACTGTAAGCTAAAAACAAAGATACCTCACATTACAATTGTATTCTTCCTTGAGTAGACTCCATAATAATCTGATTTCTGAAGATCACATATTTCTTAAGATACTGGTCACCTTTCAAGTCCTTCTATCCGTTCTTAACCTCTAGTCCTTTACAGATCAATAGTGGAATGTCATAAATCATTTGTCAGAATCCTTAGTGAACTATATTTTTCAAGCCAATTCACCCTTGCCTTAAGTGCCCACATACCCAACAAAACTTTATCAAATTACCCATTAAAACATGAATTAACACCCTAAAAGGAGCTTCTTACATCAATAGAAACATTCTCAATATATGAAGATGATGTCTATATTCAAACGAAATGCATCAACAGTAACTGTGTACTTACAAACAGAAGTAACTTGTGTCATTCAACACTCAGCATGTATTTACAAAAAGAAGTAATCTTTTCCTTGCTCAAACATCTAACTCCTTTTTGTTCACAAGTACTAGTAACTGGGGCATTTATTAACATTCATTTAGGCAGTGTGAATTAATTGAAGATAGGTACTAAAGATTCCATTCCTTAAATTGCATTAAAACTAAAGATTCCATTCCTTTCATTGCAATAAATCTAAAGGCTTCATTGCATTAAATATTTAAATTATCTATCCCCCAAATTAAAGAGATAGCAAATAATAAAAGCATGCATGCATATATGTATGAGTGACTGACATTTTCGTGATCCATGTGGCGAAGCAACTTGATCTCACGCAGAGTCCTCTTGGCGTCGATTTTGTTATCAAAAGCATTCGCTATTTTCTTTATCGCTACGTGCTCATTCGTTTCCGAATTCAAAGCAGAACTTCACATCACGTCGCCCAGGAAAATGAAAACAAAAGAAATTAAAAATAAATCAAGGTTACAGAAAAGGAGATAAGGTCGAGAGTAACATACCAGACGATTCCATATGCGCCTTTGCCGATAGGCATGATGGGAGGCTTGTATTTGGCTGTGACCTCAAAGACGTTGCCGAAGATGTTGTATTGGATGAATCTGCCGCCGTGACTGAGTGTTGCCGGAATGTTGTCGATCCCGGGCACCGGAGGCTGAGGTGGCGCAGCCTCCGACATCACCGTGTCCGCCGGCTGAGCCGAACCACCGTCCATTTTCCTCCGAAACAAATCACAATTGGTGATAATTTGATTGTTGGAAACAGCAATAGTGATTACAGGAAATATTATCTTATGAACAAACCCTAGATTGAATTTAGTTTCGTTTAAGACTACAATTATTGAGCAGTTTATAAGGTTTGTCCCCTAGTCGGAGATGAAGGGATCTCTCAAATCTCAATTGGTCAATGAGGAACGCCAGTTTATTTGTTTATTCTGTTTTTTATTTTTCCTTCTTTTTAATAATAATAAAAAAAAAATTAGCTGAAAATGAATCTGATATTACTAATTCACTTAAAATATAAAAGGATCGCTAATTGACTAATATTCTACCATTATATATTTTCACTCGAGAAATATCATCATATCGATTAAAGGTGTTAGATCTAGACGATGATGGACAAGATTTTGTTTACAAAGATGTTTTAATAATGTGTAAATAAAATCGCTGATATTATATTTTTTAAATGACAAAATTACTATATATATATATATATATATATATATATATATATATATATATATATATATATATATATATATTCTATACAAATGAATTAAGATAGAAATCCGTTCATATAACTGAGTTACTAGAGAATGAGCATATTTGCCTAATTTATAAATAAAAAAAAATACTAAATAATGATAAATAAAATCTCCAAAGTTACAGCACCGCGTGCATGTATATATACACATTAGCTATTAAATTGAGCAATTATTTTGCTTAAATTCAAGCAATGATAACATCAAAACACATAAATGATCCAAACTGTATCTTCACTTGCACTATATAATATTTGATGTTCTAATTTAAATAATTATATATCGATCCAAATATTTTTAATATATTACAACAAATCCATTTTGTGCATCGCACGGACGCAAATACTAGTAATAATAATAATAATCTTTTGAGCAAAAAAAAAAATCCAGAAATTATGGACTACTTTTATTAATTTGTTGAAAGAGAAATTACACATTTTGATATACGATTTTAGCCCCATATTTTCATTCTATGACCATTGTTTTTATTTTAAATTTTAGTCCTTCCAATCATAATTCTGATAAAAATTCACCAGAGTTGTATTTTAACATTTTTTTTTCAAAAGTATCTTTGTTTCATTTTAAAATTAGCTAATTCAAATCTCTTTTGCATGCCCATTGGAAGAAATTGTAGTTCTATATTGAAAATCAATTTGAAAATGATCAATTGGGATGACATGACAACTCTCATATACTCCTCTAACACCACCAAGGCTAGTAAGCATGTCACCTCTTTGCACACAAACCTCATCACAATGGCCCAAACGAAGGTTTGACGGTTTAGGTTAGATGATGATGTGGAAACAAAAATATTCATCTATATTGTGCCAATGTTTCACTTTTACAAATTTCAGGTTGACAATTGTGGTATTATTCAAATTTAAGAGTGATAGAGTGATAAATAATCAAAAGAATATGGAGGGATTCACCCAAAGACAAAAAGAAAGGATATGTTTAATTAGTATCTGAAAATTAATTGAAGAATAGAAAATAAAAAACATGTTTATTAGCACAGTTTTTTACTTTAAAATTTTAAAACATTTTCTAGTTTTCCTTTTTATCTCCATAGCAAAGTTTAATATCTGCCAAGACATGTATGTAAATAAAAAATTAAATATCAATTAAGCTTAATATAAGTACAGAAATGGTGTGTGTATGGCAGTATGGCATGTGTAAAGTGGTAAGGGGACGAATAGTGTGATTGGAGCTATGTCACATGATATGCAATGAGTGATGTAAAGTAGTAAGGGTGAATAGTGTGATTGGAGCTATGTCACGTGATATGCAATGATTATATTGATGTAAAGTGGTAAGTAAGGGCGAATAGTGTGATTGGAGCTACGTCACATGATATGCAATGAAGCCAATGAGTGGTGTAAAGTGGTAAGGGCAAATAGTGTGATTGGAGCTACGTCATATGATATGCAATGAGTGGTGTAAAGTGATAAGTAAGGGCGAATAGTGTGATTGGGGCTATGTCACATGATATGCAATGTGTGAAAACTCTTGTTGTGGTCAAAATTCTTCAAAAAGCATGCTAATGAGTGTTGTACACAACTCCAGGCAGGGTCACTCATGTGCCCATTTATCACATTCCATAATGGTAGACGTGATCATAGTTTAGTTCATATTTCGAATCGGCGATTCACAGTTCCATAAAATGGCAAATCGAAAACAAAATTTTTTAGAAAGGTTCCAGTTTCGATTTGAACCACCGATTCGAATTGCTTTTTCTTTTTTCTTTTTTTTTTTGTAAATTTTTTCTATTTAAAAAATAGTTCAAATTCAACAATTAATTCTTTACATTATTACGTGACATTTAAATTGATTATTTATCTGAGAAAAATAATTAAATTTGAATAATAGTTGCCCCCACCCCCACCCCCATTAATGCCAAAGTACTATTCATATAATTTTCTAGATATTTTTGTAATATAATCACTAGAAAGTATAAATTATCTTGCATCTTAGCGTTATTGTATTTTCACATGAAAAATGAATGACATCCAACTAGGGATGGGTCTACAAGTAAACAAAAAAGACTACTAATTCTTTTTTGGTGAAAATTATTTGATATAAGCGTACTAGCATACCTTTTTTTCATTTCGGTTTCTATAGTTCCTAATTCGATTTGAACCAAACCGTGGTCATCCATAACCAGGAACTATATGTTAACTTCTACCACTTTATGCAATACACACCAGTAAAGCATCTAGATAGATTATCCTACCATAACCTAAGCCCTAAATCAGACTATTCACACATTATAAGCACAAATAAAGCAAAGACATAAGTAAAGATTTAGCGTAGTTAGTTCATTGTGTAATTTAAAGATCATAGTGTGTGGAGGTTCGAATCTCATACCATGAAAACATGTATGGGAAAAAGTATGATCATTGTTGTTTTTTTTATTTTAAATAAATTTTAGTCCTTCTAATCATAAATTCATAATATTCACCAGAGTGGTATTTTAACAATTTTTTCAAGGCATCTTTGTCCCATTATATTCCAGTGAAAAACATGATAAGAAATAAAGAAAGCCACAAAGTCAGATCTACTTAATTCCCCCCCCCCCCCCCCCCCCCCCCCCCCAAAAAAAAAAACAAAAAACAAAAAACAAAAAACAAAAAAACAGACAACTCTCCTATACTCCACCGGCACTACCAAGGCTAGCGAGTGTGTCACCTCACTCCTTGCACAAAAACTTAATCATAATGGTCCAAATGAAGGTTGGACGGTTTAGGTTATACAATATTGTAGAAACAAAAACCTTAGCTTCATCTATATTGTATCAATGTTTCACATCTATAAATTTTAGCTAATTAACAATTGTGGTATTATCTAAATTTAAGATGGATGAAATGCTATTAACTATTCACAAATATCACACTTTGTATCTCCGACTAGTGTTGTTAATGCTATTTGCATTCATCAACCATGGTAACTCAATCAAGAACAAGTACAAATTAAGTAGCCTAAAGAAAGTCCTATCTAATGATGCATCTTTGAGTAATGAGGTGATTGAAGGTTTTTTCGAGAAGTACTTGAGGTATCCACAATCCTACAAGGGTATATATAATATATTGATTGAGTAAATTGGAATTAGTCTAGGTGATAGGACAAAAATATACCCATAAAATTGGAAAGGAAATGATAATGGTAGGATGTAATTTGAGAAAAATGATTATTGTAGACAAAAAGAGTTAATGGGGTTAAAGTGTTCTTAGTGTCTTATAAGATTTTGATGTCTGATCTGTAGTCAATATTTAATAGTTTTAATTTTTTGTATCAAATATTAACCTTTAATATCCCGAACTAAACTGAATTAGTCTCGCAATAATAAAAATATCAGATTTTGTATTAAAAAAAACATTAATATTTATGTTTGATATAAAATTTCTCATTACTAGCTAGATTGATGTATCCCTTCTCGGGCCCTTCACATCCTGTCTCGACCTGACAAAACATTTAGAAAGATTTATGTCCACTTTAAACATAATCTCAACATTGACATTGAGAAGGTTCGAACATTGATCTCTTCTTCCAAATACTTCCTACTAAACTAATAAGTTGAGCTAAGTCCGTGCGGATTAAATTGACATATATATCCCTAACTATATGAGACTCTTATCTTACTTTTAATAATGTATCAATATTTGACATTTTTAAATAATATCTTAAAGGCACTTATAATCATTTTTTATCTTTATTTTAAACACAATAAATATGTCCCTTTCAATTTATTTATTATATATATATTTTTTTTTTCGCCGGCACATGCACACTTGACACTTGCATGGAGGCTTTTAATGGAGTAGGCATTCTAGATTCGGGGTCGGCTAACTTTAATTTAGATCTGTAATTTTGGAGTTAGCCGCCGATTTAATTTAATCAATTTGAGATCAATTCTTCAATTCTATCATCTATCTCATGTTACTTGTTATATTTACTAATTTTTTTTTTCCTTCACTTTTTTTGAAAGTTAACTGGCTCTATTACCAATAACGCCTTCACTGAGGCTCGAACTCATAATCTTTCATATGGAAGTCCAACCCGGGTACCATTAGATCACATAGTCCTGGTCTTCACTTATTTTCATATAACTTTAAAATTCAAAATTGTGTATTTATCATGCCATAATTTTTAAATATATAAATTGCATATATTACAACTGATGGATATATTAGGAGAAGGGACTCGGGGCAAACCGACCCGGGGGTCGCGCGTGAGACGAGGGGCCCAAGGGCGAGGACTACCACGGGGGACCCAAGGGCGAGGACTACCACGGGGGTCTCCCCGCGTGACTCGGTCAACCAAGATCCAACCGCCCGCCCTATTCTCTTGGGGTCGGTTGGGAGGATTGCTTTGTATAAAAAGACATATCATTGTCTTTGTTAGGGGATCTACATCTTGTCTTGTTACTACACTCTCCTTGTAATTTTCCTATAAAAGACTATCAATACGAAAGTTGTCCCCGTGACATATACATTTCTTGCATTTTCCTATTGGATTTAGTGATTCGGGTCTACCCCGGGTAATTAAATCCATCAACAACTAAATTCAAATCATGTTAGTTAAATTAGACACATAAAATAAGATGTAAAATACCAAATATACTATTCTGGATTCCTGTTTGTTAGGGTATGCTAACATGACTCCTGGCCTG